TTGTTATTAGTGTCAGTATTAGTACAGTAGATTTACATGTTGTAGCTCACTGGCTTCAATTCTCAGTACACAGCGAAGAAAGACTAAATTATATCACTAAAAACTTCTTTCACATATTCGTTTAATTTTTAGAAGGGAAATATACCTTTAGTTGAAAAGTGTTTGCAAGTAATAGTGATAGTTTTATAACTAAAAAAAATTTGTTAGGGTGTATTTGAGGTGTGTGAAAAATATGACATATCGCCGATCTGTTCCGATACGCCATTGCTGCTTGTGCATGACGAGGCACACGTTAATTAGTACAAATGGTAAAACAGGCCAGCGAGTGACCTATCCCTGTTGTAGAGTATCCCTGTTATAACATATTGGGATTGGGTTGTGTCAGATATGCAAACATATGTCGCATTATTGCATGCAAGCTGCATTGCACATGGGTACAATGTGTGAAGCTCATTTCTGGTATCCCCCGCCGTGATATCACTGGAATATTGCTAAAAATGGCGTAAACCTCAACTCACTCACTCAATAGAAAAGTGAGTTCCAGTGGGATTTATTATAACATATTGGGATTGGGTTGTGTCAGATATGCAAACATATGTCGCATTATTGCATCCAATCTGCTTCACATGGGTACAATGTGTGAAGCCCATTTCTGGTATCCCCCGCCGTGATATCACTGGAATATTGCTAAAAACGGCGTGAACCTCAACTCACTCACTCAATGGAAAAGTGAGTTCCAGTGGGATTTATTATAATATATTGGGATTTGGTTGTGTCAGATATGCAAACATATGTCGCATTATTGCATGCAAGCTGCATTGCACATGGGTACAATGTGTGAAGCCCATTTCTGGTATCCCCCGCCGTGATATCACTGGAATATTGCTAAAAATGGCGTAAACCTCAACTCACTCACTCAATAGAAAAGTGAGTTCCGGTGTGATTTATTATCACATATAGGGATTGGGTTGTGTCAGATATGAAAACATATGTCGCATTATTGCATGCAAGCTGCATTGCACATGGGTACAATGTGTGAAGCCCATTTCTGGTATCCCCCGCCGTGATATCACTGGAATATTGCTAAAAACGGCGTGAACCTCAACTCACTCACTCAATGGAAAAGTGAGTTCCAGTGAGATTTATTATCACATATTGGGATTGGGTTGTGTCAGATATGAAAACATATGTCGCATTATTGCATGCAAGCTGCATTGCACATGGGTACAATGTGTGAAGCTCATTTCTGGTATCCCCCGCCGTGATATCACTGGAATATTGCTAAAAATGGCGTAAACCTCCAGTACTCACTCAATAGAAAAGTGAGTTCCAGTGGGATTTATTATAACATATTGGGATTGGGTTGTGTCAGATATGCAAACATATGTCGCATTATTGCATCCAATCTGCTTCACATGGGTACAATGTGTGAAGCCCATTTCTGGTATCCCCCGCCGTGATATCACTGGAATATTGCTAAAAACGGCGTGAACCTCAACTCACTCACTCAATGGAAAAGTGAGTTCCAGTGAGATTTATTATCACATATTGGGATTTGGTTGTGTCAGATATGCAAACATATGTCGCATTATTGCATGCAAGCTGCATTGCACATGGGTACAATGTGTGAAGCCCATATATATTCCAGCAATATCATAGTCGGGGACACCAGAAATAGGCTTAACACATTGTACCCATGTGGGGAATGAAACCCGGGTCTTCGGCGTGACGAGCGAACGCTTTAACCACTAGGCTACCTTAACTAATCCATATGGTAGCACTAGATCGATGATCATGACGTTGATCACTGGATTGTCTGGTCCAGGCTCGTTTATTTACAAACCGCCGCCATATAACTGGAAGCATTGTTCTGTGTGGCGTTAAAAAGCAAACAATACATATGGTCGCTAATGAGTTTTACTTGTGGAACGTTTGGAAATTTCAATACTTGAGTATTCACCTCTTGAAGTAGGTACACCCTGATAGGTACGTCAGTTCAATGGCTGGTTCGTTGTACTGTCAGCACGAACTCAATAGACAAATAAAATATTGTTTATTTAGGTAATGGGGCCACGAATGACCCAGTTGTCCACGTCGCCGCATTTCGCCATGCAGAGTTGTGTCTCCTAGGCACGCCAGTAAACTGGGGCGGTAGGGTAGCCTAGTGGTTAAAGCGTTCGCTCGTCACGCCGAAGACCCAGGTTAGATTCCCCACATGGGTATAATGTGTGAAGCCCATTTCTGGTGTCCCCCGTCGTGATATTGCTGGAATTTTACAAAAAGCGGCGTCAAACCATACTCACTCATCCCCAGTAACCTAATATTGGGTTCGAATCCCGAATCGTCGTGAATATGCACCCAACCTTAGTGCTCAATCTTGTCGATGTCATGGCAATAATATAAACAAAGTTGGGGGTCACGACTGAAATCTGAATTAGCATAACAAAAATACTCATAACAACATAACTAATAAGTAACTGCATAATGTTTTAGGTCGCAACCAGCATTATTCCTACCAGTATAGTCTCTCAGAGCCTGGAATAGATGAAGAAAATATTCCAACTCAGGTCCAGAATAACTGGGCAAGCCATGTTTCTATATATATATAACTATATTTCTGGGACTGAATGTCAGTCTGCAACTAGACTCCTGCTGCCTTTAAACAACGGGCTAGATAAACCAGTGACTGATATTATGAGCATATCCTACATCGTCGGCCAACCACAGAACGCCCACGACACTCTTTACTCCAGATCAAAAGTGAACCACCTTTATCTTTGAGTGAGTGTGGGCGGTGGGGTAGCCTAGTGGTTAAAGCCTCGGCTCGTCACGCCGAAGACCCGGGTTCGAATCCCCACATGGGTACAATGTGTGAAGCCCATTTCTGGAGTCCCCCACCGTGATGTTGCTGAAATATTGCTAAAAGCGGCGTAAAACCAAACTCAGTGAGTGAGAGAGTGAGTGGGTGAAGTTTGAGTGAAGTTGTACACCGTTTTTAGCCGTATTTCAGCAATATCACGACGGGGGACGCCAGAAATGGGGTCTCACACTGTACCCATGTGGGGTACAATGGGTGACGCCCACTGAACCACTGGGTCACCCTGCCGCTGCCAACCTTATGATGGTGTTAGTGTTTAAAACATGCTTCAGCGGGTGAACCTTAACGCATTTCAAGGATACATTTTATCATTCAATTTATCATTTGTAAGAGCTATCGTAATAGTGACAGTAGTAGTTCTTGTAGTAACAGTAGCAATTGTAATAGTCTAACCCGTGAAGATCCGGGTTAGAATTGATCTTCAGTAACCCATGCTTGTCGTAAGAGGCGACTAACGGGATCGGGTGGTTAGGATCGCTGATGTGGTTGACACATGTCATCGGTTCCCAGTTGCGTTCATACAGCTGGAATATTGCTGAGTGAGGCGTTAAAACAAACGAACCAAAAGCAGTTTTCGATGCACTTGTTTCAGATGGTTAACGGATTTTCTAGAATGATTTTACAGCGCTTCCAACTCCTTTTATTCGACACAAATTTCACCATTTGCAGTTTCTGATGCGGCTTCATACAGAACTTCAGGTATCCTAGGTGCCGTTGTGGGACCCCATGCGACAACTGTCTATTCCAGAAGAAAAGGCAACAGTTGATTCATAGACATTCTATATTTATTTTCATCAATGTGGTGTGACATATTTGTAAAAATAGTTTCTATGATATAAAAAGGCGAAAAGATATGCAACTCGGAAATAATTACACGTCACGTAGCTTGGAACATGTTTATGGTGATATATATATTACATCTGACAATATGACTTAAACTGGGCTGATACAGACAGTATGTTAGTTCTAGTTTACAAATTAGCTATGGCAACATATGAAAACGTGTTTTAAGTCCATTCGATAGGGACTCTCACTAAGCATAAACACACTGAGGAAATTTTGTTAAATCTATGGATTTTAGCCAAAATAACGCCACTCTATCTCCTCTCGCTCTTCTTTAGCTCTGCGCCAGAGTGTGAAATGACGCATGTCATTTGGTCGTGACGTCCTATCTATCCAGCGTGACGCTAAGTCTCCCACACAGGTGCAGGAATTTGTCTTAAGAGAAACCTACATCAGATTTCTCGAAACAAACTTTAGTTTTTACCCAAATTTCAAACTGACTTTGACAATTTGAAACAGCTGAATTTCTAACTAAAATTTAAAAGCCAAAACAACTCAAGTGACCTATCTATTAAACTTAATTTGTCTATGATTGCGTTAAGTATCGATTTCAGTTTATTCTCGGAAATGCATTTTCCCGCGTTTTCTCAAATTTGAGTTTAAAACGTTAACTTAAGTCAAAACTCAGAACTATGTTTGTTTCAAGAAATCGGTCTGCTCAAGCCCCTACCGCCGACTGAATATGGAAACTTTATATTCAATAATATAGTTCGATTAAGACGTCTATATCATTACAATATATTCATATATTTCGATTTCTTACATGGCAAGATGAACAAGTTTCACATAAATCACTCTGCTTTCAGTCACCTTTGAGTTCTCCGATATCCACGAGAAACCCATGTATTTCTCATACAGCTTCGAATAAATAAACTTATACCTATAAACAACAACGCTTGGAGAGGGATTCTTTGGCCAAAATGCTTAATAAAATCATACACGTACTGATTGGGTTTTCAACATAACAAAATGATTGGATGATTGTCGTGCAGACGAAAAGAGAGCAGAAGCGACACATGGTCGAGACACGACAAACAAGGATATATTAAAACGACAGGTATTCATATGTTAACAGTGAGTGAGTGAGTGAGTTGAGTTTTACGCCGCACTCAGCAATATTCCAGCTATATGGCGGCGGTCTGTAAATAATCGAGTCTGGACCAGACAATCCAGTGATCAACAGCATGAGCATCGATCTGCGTAATTGGGAACCGATGACATGTGTCAACCAAGTCAGCGAGCCTGACCACCCGATCCCGTTAGTCGCCTTTTACCATATGTTAACAATACAAGTGAATGTAATAGCAGGTAATTGATTCAATAGGAAGCCTAAATATACAGTTAGAATACATGTGTTGGAAAATTCTTAGACTCCTGATGACTTGTTGAAGACTTTTATCGATCTGAAAATATGAAATATACAAATTTAAACATACTGAGCATATGAAACAATGACATTTTTCATATTTTTTGTTTTAATGAAGAGTAAATACTCAATGCCTTATGCATGTACTTAATTTCACTCATGTCATATACACAGGGTCTCTGATGATGAATGGTGCGCAGTGGTTATAGCGTTCACGCCGAAGACCCGGGTTCTATTCCCCACATGGGTACAATGTGTGAAGCCCATTCCTGGTGTCCCGCGCCATAATGACGGAAGAAAGGACAGCGCAAACGCGAACAGCACGTACATTGTACGCGTCGTTCGTGACTGATGCTGCTCATCATTCTGATGTGAAACAGTTGTATGATTTCGAAACAAACGGACTATTTCATAAATGGAACAGAGAGGTTTAACCGTCAAAGATACTGTACTGGTATACAACACTCACTCACATTTGACATAAACTGCAAAATAAGTTATACTCTTGAAATTCGGAATTCACCCCCTTCCCCGCCAAAAAACGAGAAAAAACACGAAAAAAAATATAATAAGATAAAATAAAACAAAAAACCCAAAACAAAACAAAGAACCCCCAACCAAAAAAAACAACAAAACACACACGCACGCACGCACACATTTAAAGGCTGATTGTCTGGTATCTGTATATCTCATATGGCAAAACGTATTCTAAATAGTACATTATATACTGTATATACTCACTTAGCTGTTATGTGACTCTTCTTGTTCGTAATACATGAAATGCTGTAAGGAAAGACATGCGGTCATTATCGATCCTTGATCATACCACTGTGACCAATACCATGAATCCATTTGCTAGCATGTCATGTTTTCAGAATATTTTTCATACATGTTCTCCAGCAAATTACACGTTCTCTCATGAACATCAGACTCAAAATGAATCTGAATATCTACGGTATTTGTTATGGTATGTATGGGCATTCGTGACCCACTCGTGTTATTCCGGGACAAACCAAGTTTACGGAAAGGGGCGAGTGGTGACGAATGATGTATGGGAGGTATGACACCCGAGAACACCGAGAATGGTCACTATTAGATGTCAATGAGAATGTTTTGGAGGTGTCTTATGCGACTTGTTTTAGTTTGTTGTTCAACGCCGCATTCAACAATATGGCGGCGGTATAAATATTTTAGTTGGACCAAACAATCCAGTGATCAACAACACTGGCATCGATCTACGCAACTGGGATACGGTGACATGTGTCAATCAGGTCAGCGCGGGTAACCGCCCGATCCCGTTAGTCGCCTCTTACAACAAGAATGAGTTGCTGAATATCAATTCTAACTCGGTCTGATGTTCGACAGCTAATGGAGGTGGTGGGATACCCTAGTGGTTCAAGCGTTCGCTCGTCACACCGGGTTCGCTTCCCACATATATATGAAGACCGTTTCTAGTGTGGTATTACTGGGATATCGCTTAAAGCGGCGTAAAACCATAATCGCTGACCCGGAAGCTAATGAAAACGTGTTCCAATACTTACGATGAGGAAGACAGCGCCCATCAGCGTGGCCTTGACCTTCACATCGAGGTCTTGGGGAACTGAAATATTCAATATTATTCCATACTTTGGGTAATGTACAGCCTTTAACATTTTCAGGTTTGTTTGTGATTGCTTTCGTTTAGTGTAACGCTACGTAACAGTAATATTCCAGCTGTACAGCGCTGTGTATAGAATCGAAAAACCCACAATATCCGGTGACTGACATCATGAGCATCAAACTATAGAGTACGATGTTATGACCACCCGATCCCTTAGTCGCCTTTCACAACAAGCATGTGTTACGAAGCACATGTGATTCATGTGATCTCACCTTTGGCTAGTGAATTTGTTCGAAATTGTCTCTGTTCACCCAGCAGAAAATGGGTACCCGGCGGGATAAGTCATGTGACTATAATCTTCTAGAAGATTGAGTTATATATACTGAAAACATGGGCAGGAAGTGATGTTCCGATTTTTTTTACCAATGTGTGTACTTCGGAGGGGTTAATCTAACAAATATGTTCGGATTGTCCAAGTGTCATACTCATTTTAAAAGGCGACTCTGGCCCTTGACCCGTGAAGATCCGAGTTAGAATTGGTTTTCTAACTGGATCGGGTGGTCAGGCTCGCTGTCGTGGTTGACATGTCATCGTATCCCATTTGTGTAGATCGATGCTCATGCTGTTGATCACTGGATAGTCCAGACTCGATTATTTACAGACCGCCGCCATAGAGCTGGAATATGGCTGAGTGCGGCGTAAAACCAAACTCACTCGCTCTAACTTCACTTAAAGCCCAAAAGCTGATATATATATTTCGAGAGGATTCTTACTCACATGTGACCGAAAATTTCTCCGAATCGGTGAAGAGTTCCCTTGCTACACCTCCCCATTGCTTGCTGATCTTGGACACAATGTTGCCATCCTGCATGGATCGAACCTGGAAATATAACAAGTTATATAAGTATACTCAGCAATTTTACAACGCATTAGTGTTATTTTATGGAGGCCCAGAGGAGTAATCGCCTCAACGACGTCATTATTTTGGGCGCAATAAAACCACGTGACGTGACGCTTCCCGAGGTGAGTGGAAACATATCAGTTGATGACATGGTGTTGGTCCACTTCAGAATGCTTATGGGCGTTAACGCGTTAAGTCGATATCGCTCAATTATTAATAGGTTGTGGGTATCGGCAGTTTTACCATGATCAATCATAAGAACGCCATCTTGTTACAGAGGCAATCTTCATGGAGTGAGTGAGTATGGTTTTACGCCGCTTTTAGCAATATTCCAGCAATATCACGACGGGGACACCAGAAATGGACTTCACACATAGTACTAAGTTTGCGAATCGAACCTCGGTCTTCGGTGTGACGAGCGAACGCGTTGACCACCCCACCGCCCCTCTAAACCATGGGCATTCACTGTCACAGGGAAACTCGATATCGGTTGCGTGCATATATACTCATTATCTGGCAGCCACTCGGATACTAGACATCAGCGGTATTACTACCATGTCACAGACATACAGGAAACTGCTACCATTGCTATCATTTGTCACAAACATACCGTAAACAGGCATACTGGAAACTCGACATCGGCAGTATTATCATTATCAGACACTGACATAATGGAAACTCGACATCAGCTGAATTACTCGCATTATCATTATCAGACACTGACATAATGGAAACTCGACATCAGCTGAATTACTCACATTATCATTATCAGACACTGACATAATGGAAACTCGACATCGGCGGTATTATTATCATTATCAGACACTGACATACTGGAATCTCGACATCAGCTGAATTACTCGCATTATCATTATCAGACACTGACATAATGGAAACTCGACATCAGCTGAATTACTCACATTATCATTATCAGACACTGACATAATGGAAACTCGACATCGGCGGTATCATTATCATTATCAGACACTGACATACTGGAATCTCGACATCGACGGTAATACTATCGTTATCATTATCAGACACTGACATACCGGAAACTCGACATCTGATGAATTACTATCTTTATCAAGCACTGACGTACCTGAATATCGACACCGGCAGTATCACTATTAACACCTTTGTTCGTCACAGACTTACATGAGATACATGAGACATACATACAATTAATCGCTTTCGTTTCATTTGTACATACCGGAAACTCGACATCAGCTCTGCAGCACAGTCCCTGGCAACCACAACATGGCCCCCAAATCTCCATCATCTGGTTTCGACTGCTGTCAAGGATACCATAGTGGCCCTTCCACTTGGACGGCCTGGGGAAACATCATAAATTGATTACTTTGTGCTTGTTTATCGCTGCACTCAGTACATTTTGTAGCTACATGACGTCAGTCTTTAAATAATCGAATTTAGACCAGCGAATCACCTGATTGACTGATTTGCATCGATATACGCAAAAAAAGAAGGAATCTGTGGCTTAATAAATTTGTGCATAAAAAATAATTAGTTAATTATGTAAATGGAACTACATGTGCAGCCACACTACCCTAATTATTTTTGACAACAGAAAGGCAACTTCACTGATTTTCAAAGACTAAATCTCTGTGAGGTTCTTGAGGGTCTATAGAAGTTGGTATTCAAGTATATAATGGATGTCAACTTCTACTTTGTTGTATACACAACGTTTCTGGGCTTTCCTTGGCCCCTTTTGTCTGTGATTTCCATGAGCTGTTGCGCAGTGAAATAAATTGTTTATTTCTTACTCTGAATAATTTCAAATCAAGTTAATCTGAAAGCAGTTCTTTGAATGCTGACACAGTTCATTTTTAAAGAAATAGTATTCGTTATTTTTTCAAAAAAAAATCAAGGATATGCATAGAATTTTTAATCATCCGACTTATTCAGTCGCTTCGTATTACAAGCATTTATTGCTTTGGACCTTCTCTAACTGGAACTGCCCGACGTGCCGAGAAGTCGACGTACAGCTGTCTGACATAAGCACGATATGGACATGACTGACTTAAAGGCACTATTTCACACCATTCTTCTCTAAAGATAAATAATGCATTTCTCTCAAAATACCAACTATCAGCCCCCAGGGAAGCTACAATATAATTTATTAAAAAAACAACACGTTTTTAGATTACAATCATATTAAATTCAAAAGTTCAAATGAATTAATGCAACGTTGAATTAATCGACTCTCGCGCCCTCTATTGACCGAACATTATTTCAAGCTAACCCCTTAGAGTTATGTCCCTTGGAGCGCTCGTTACGGCTTTACGAATATTCTACAACTCATTTGGACACTGAACTCAGTACTAGACAAAAAACATACGCGCAACTTGTGACTGAAACCAGTTCGGCACACACCGACAACACCGCGTGCGA